GCACTCACTCATACTTTTATATACAGTCTAATAGAGCATAATTTAAGCAATACTTTTTACAGAAATTGAATACCGAAAATATTACTTAACTATTTTTGTAATATTATTGTTCTATGAATAAAAGAAAAGGAAGGAATGGGATATCATTCATTCCCTCTAGTGGCACCCGAGAGTGCAAAGTGATCTCCGTCCTCCATGGCTAGAGGACGTTGGGTTTTACATGCCAACGCGGTGTTGTGGTTTGTGGTTTGACTTAGTTCAAGTCCGATATACTAGCTTGTCGTTAGACTCGGTGAACGTATCGTGTTGTGTTTATAAATTATTTCACTGAATCTAAATATTTATTTATTTATTTTAAACTTAATGCACATATTGTACAAAGGCGCACTTATTGCCATTAGGCATTCTCTCCCAGTCAACCTTCAGGTGATGTAGAAATATGATGCGGTAGGTGCAAAATAAAATATGAAATTTAACATAATTTAGGTGCAGAAACATACACAATATAAAAACACACATGCATGCATAAACCTACATAAATTTAATAAAATATACAAAAATACTCAGTCGGGAACTAGAGCTGTAACTGTTTCGCCAATTCACCCCGAAGAAGATCGCGCACTTTTCTCTTGAATGCAAGGCGATTTGTTGACATCCTGATTTCGGCAGGGGGCATTCCAGAGAAGAACTGACTGGACGTAGCAGGAGGAGTTGATGAAGTTGGAGGTGTGAGGGGGGCATAGAAGAAGCATATTGTTGGTTGATCGAAGATTTCGATCGTGATTGGAGCATAGGAAACGGAAGTGGGGTACGAGGTATTCAGGTAACGATGGAGAGTTGAGGAAAGAAAAGAGAGAAGTCAGTGCTCGTAGACTGCGGCGCTGACGAATTGGGAGCCATTGCAGCTGGGAACGTAAAGCAGACACGTGGTCATACTTGCGAAGATTGAAAAGGAATCGAATGCAGTTATTCAGAAGGCGATCTAGTTTATTGAGAAGGTCTGCATTCAGGTCGAAAAAACACACACATCACCATAGTCGATTAAGGGAATAATTAAGGACTGCATAAGCGTTAATAATTTTAGCGGGAAGGAAGTTCTTCAATCGATATAAGGCACGGAGACATGTGGTGACTTTCTGGCCGACGTGTGTAACCTGTGCCCGCCAGTCAAGTGTCGAGTCGATATATAACCCCAGGTTCTTTACCACTGCACTATAAGGTATAGTCACATTGTTGTAGACAACTGGTGGGATGACAGCCATATCCAACCTACTTATCATTTGTTTGCTCCCCACGACGATCACTTGACATTTGGTTGGATTTACCGACAAACCAAACCTAGTTGACCAGCTCTTTATAAAGTCCAAGTCCTTGTTGACTTTGTCGATAGCGTATGTTATGCCCTTAACCCTTGTCTGTGTGTACACTTGTAAGTCATCAGGGTACAGGTGATACGTGCACTGAAGGTGTTGGGTTATGAGATGAATGAATATTGAGAATAATAAGGGAGATAATATACCGCATTGAGGGACGCCAGTGAGAAGATCACACCAACTCGACGACAAGTCATCAATATGAACACTCTGTTGTCGTCCCTGAAGATACGAGGAGAACCATTCCAGAGCTTCTGAGGAGATCATAAGATAGGAAAGGATGGCCAGTAGAACGTCATAACTAACGGTATTAAAGGCATTCGAGAAATCAACCAAAGCCAGCACTGTGACTTTAGTCTCCTCCATACCCTCCCTAATATCGCTTGTCACTTTGAGCAGAGCGGTGGTTGTGCTGTGACCAGGTCTGAACCCAGCTTGTAAAGGAGTAAGAAGATTCTGCTGATTTACAAACTGTGCGAGCTGCTTATGTACACAGGCCTCTAGCACTTTAGAAAGAAAGAGAAGTATAGAAATTGGTCGAAAGTGTTCGGGGAGAGAGAAGTTAGTTTTTTTGGGTAAAGGAATGATGAAGGCCTTACGCCAGAGTGAGGGAAAGGTTGCAGAGTCGAGTGAAAAGTTTATGATATGAGATATTGCTGGAAGAATGTGATCCAGGATGGTAACAATCATGCGACGGCTGATACCGTCACATCCCACAGCATTGGAACGAATGGATAGGATAATCTTTTTGATGTCCTCAGAAGATACCGGAGAAAAGTCAAAGGATTCAATATCGGGATGGGTTAGACTAGCTATATAACGGTTCCATTTCTCCTCACAGCGATCCTTCCTGTACCCATTAAAACAATGGTCTCTCCGTCTCATAGCCATTCAAATTTCCTCCGTCATCCATGGCGCCGGAGTGCGCTTCAATTTGACTTTCCTCACAGGTGCATTAATATCATACAAGTTAAGAACTGCGTCATTAAAAAGAGTAACTTCGTCGTTCATGTCTGTAGCTGCAGCCAAGTCTGTCCAGTCTAATGCAGAAGCGCCTGCACACAGGTTTTTAAAGTCCATTCGTCTAAAACTACGAATATGCAGAAATTTGGGAAAGGATTAAGGTGGCTTCAGGATATAAGAAAGGAAGATCAAGTCATGGTGGGAAAATCCAGGAGCAGGATATTGACCATGGGAATAGACAAGTCTTGGAGCAGAGGTGATAATTAGGTCAAGCCAAGTGTCTTGGTGTTCAATATTGTGATGAGTTGCTTGAAGGGGGAGGACATGGAGACTAGTGGATTGGATGATGTGGAGGAGATTACGAGTACGGGGCGAATTAAGTGCTAGGAGATCGGTGTTAAAATCGCCCATGATGACGTGGTGTGAGTATTCAGACCCTAAAGACCCAGAACTGTTTTCAGACTGGAGAAGTAGTTGACAGCAGGGGGCAATAAACTACCCCTAGTAAAACATTAGAACCTTTGACACAAACTTCGAGGAAGAGGTATTCAGCGGTAGTAGTAGGATCGGAAGAGGAAGTAGCAAAGATGTTGTAGGGGAAACAACTACGTAGGTAAATGGCAACCCCACCACCTCTTCTTGACTCCAATCGGTCGTTTCGAATTAGTACAAAGCCAGAGAGAGAATAAGAGGTGGAAGCTAGGTGCGGCTTAAGCCAAGTTTCCGAAATCAGGATGGCGTGCACATTATTGTCAGTGAAAGTTTCAGTCAAATCACTGAAGTGACTGGGAACACTCTGAGCATTAATATGACACACATTTAATAAGGAATGTGATTGGTTGTTGAATGATTGCCGTAATCGGTCACCCAAAGTGTCAGGTAGGGAACTGAAGCTCTCATCTCCAGAGGAGTCATTAGCAGAAAAGTATACATTATCATTATATCATTATCATGAACAGTCATTAGAATCGAGTACACATATTAAATACAACACATTTAACTCTAATATAATAATAAAAAAAAATACGTATAAATAATATTTTACATACATATGTAATAATATTTAGTTTAGAAGTAATCTTAATAAATAACCTTGATCGAAGTTGGTGCGTATTTCTACATCACCCGCCAGCTTACACATACAAGACTGACATAATACAATAAGCCATAATCAAACCAGTTTGACAAAAACAAAAAAAAATGAATCACGACAATGCAAGAGGTTAATTTAAAAATAGCTCAGAGCTTCGTGTTCTTACGTTTGAGTTACAAGAAACGGAACGCACCAGTAATGAATGACGAATGAGCAAAACGTCGATTTGACAGATGCGATACCTGTCACAAGTCACAACACAATCATCACCAATTTTTAAATACGAGAAAGTAAGACAAATTTTAAAGATACAAGACATGAATCATGATACAACACATGAAGCGAGTAAGGATGATTACAATTATGTAAATATGACATTTATGTAAGATAATTTGTAGCTAAACGTAAACATTTGCCAACCAATGATAGCGAGAACGTCGGGTCAAAACGCGCGTGAACAATGACTTGAACGAAATGCGTGTTATTGTTGACGCACGTCTTTTGCTGTTTGCCAAAAAAGCCAGTTCGACACCCGGTGTCTTAACATCGCCTAACAAAAAAAAATCTTTTAAAACAGAGAACTGGAGTCGTAACTAAAAAAATCTATGCAGAAATTACATTCTACACAGATTTTCTTCGGACTATCTTCTATTTATATTGCAGCCTGCAATCAACCGTCCCCGCTGGAAATCATTGGGAGAGGCCTATGTCCAGCAGTGGATAAGCATAGGCTGAGTTGATGATGATGATGATGATCTTCTATTTTATTCAGACTAAAAACTTTCCAACGTGAGCCACGTATGTAAATGTAAATACAGTGAAGTTTAAATGTGTTGGAATATTTAAGTTCAAAAAGAGTTGTGTGTTTTTATAGCAAAACTCTTAACTTACGGGCTCTACCTATTGCATAGCGAAACAGACACTTAATTAAAAGGTAAAAGCGTGAGCGACAAATTGTGACTGCATATGATTAAACTTATTTTATTGTATTACAATTAGATTTAGGTATACTGAACAAACAATAATGAAGAAACACCAATCACTTAAAGATTTCTAAAGCTATTAAAGAAATATAATATTAACACATTATGATCATTTTCTTGTCTATGATCTCTATGATCTATCTCTATGATATGATGAAATGTCTATGATCTCTTTTTAGATCCATTTATTATTTGACAATTTTTTTAGATCTAGAGAAATTTCTGATTGTCCCACGTTTATACACAACTTGAAAATCGAAATCTGTACATTTTGGACATACACATCATATACCCACATACAAGTGGAGCGTGGTAAATATCCCGGCTCATTGTTTAGTTAGAATCGGATCCATCTTGAAATAGGACATTTAGATTGAACACATTAATTAAGGCCTAAGCATAAAGTCAAAGGTATCCATCTCAAGGTTTACTGCCAACTTTGCACGCAAGATAAAAAAAATATTTCTTCTGTCACACACAGAATTAAATTTAGAAATAAAATAACGTTATGTACAATACAACAACACAATAACGTGAAGAAATGGCGACAAAGTCATAAACAAATTCACATGTAATAACTCCACTCACCCCAGTGCTGACTAGCGAGAGCATAATCCTCTCGTTCAGCGCGAGCGTCTCGCCCTGCTTCATTTTTATACGCTTCTTGTCGAGACACTTCATCGCGTACATTTTCCCCGTGTCCGCCTTCCGACACCCGTACACCTGTATATTATGTACAACATGTAAAACATAACGTCTTAAAAATTTTATCGTTTGCGTTTCGCTTCTTTAAAGAGTTCGTTACATCTCGAACATTGCAATTCAGTCAATCAAAGATCGATCTTCTGTACACGTAGAAACATTACCAAGCAGCTTTAGTTGTTTATATTAAAAAAGATAAATGTTCAATATTGGTAACCAATGCGTTCCACTTATATTAAAAAATAACAGAATAAATACCACATTTCATCTATAGAAACGTGTACAAGAATACCAGAACAAAATGCTGAATAGAGGTCGCCCGATACTGATCTGTATTCACTGTGCTTACAAATACAAAGTAAGTAAAATAATGTCGTACACGCACACAACATTTACAAGAGATATATATTGTGAAACATTTACAATCTTGTTAAATAATCAGGTTATACCCGTAGTGGATAACTAAAATACAAGCGTTAAAATCCATCACTATGCCAGTGGGTGAACAGGAGGGCTTTATTACACCTACGTAGCGACTTTCCGTTCTCTGAGATGAATATGAATATAGTAAACACGTCCGTGGTGCAAACTCAGAATGCTAATGATATTAGGTTTGGATCTTGCGCTGAAACTTGCGCAACAAACTTGGTATTTTGCGTATTTTCTTAACTAATTCTCATGGTCTCACCTCACCGAAACCGCCTCGACCGATTATACGATGCACACTGAAGTCGTTCATTGTAAGCTGTATGTTTAATTCTAAATTCTTCCATTGACAAAATCTCGTGTATTTGTCACTGTAACAAATGACATGACACATTACAATCATTATCAAAATCAAAACTTAATGAAACAAGTAATAATACCGTACCTTTCTAAGAAATTTTTGAACGGTTCTCCGCGTAGATGTTGGAAGATTTCCTCAATATAGGGCTAAAATAAGTAATTTAATAATAATTACGACGCTTTAAGGGATGATTTAAGTTGAGTGAATATTAAACTCTAGAAATACGTACCTCAAATAGATTTGGTGGCACTTCAAGCTTCATTAAATATTTTTGTACATGCGCTACGCACTCTTTAGAATAATCCTGAAAGAAACGTATCATTGATTTACAAGAAAAAATAAACCATTTATACAGTACAATATGTAAATAATTTTGGAAAGCCATTGCTTCTCTGTAAGAGCATAAACCGCTGTTAAAGCCCCCTGGCCAAAAGTATTAACAGTATAGTAATTTTAAGTAATAACAAAAAAAAAAACATTTATTTGCACACTACGGGTCTTTTACAAGATAAATTTGACTTTTACAAAGCACTAGATGATTGTGGGAGACTGGTGTCTCAACTAGCCTGTATTTCAGGACACCAGGCCTCCATGGTTCTCTTTATAAAATTTTACGGGTTTTAAAATATAGAGCAGATTTAACTATTATTAAGTGGAAACATTGAAAATTTTACAGGTGATGTCTAGGTTAATGATTTTAGTCTGTTTTTTGGGGATTTTAATTAGTGTTTTGATGTTTTCATAGTTTAATGTCAACAACCAGTCAACAACGTTTTGGTCAACCGTTTTTTGCATGCTAATTTTGGTAGGGGTACATGTTAATGGTCGTATTTATTTTGTTGTAGACGTATCCACCGATGAAACAGAAGAAACGACTGGTAAAGCGGGTATGAGAGTGGTGTTTGGTGCCATTGGCAGGACCTTTTTCCTGGAGGTAAGATGGCCTTTAGGTCAGAGACTGTGCTGTTTAAGGACTGAGAAAAAAAAATAGTTGTCGCACGGTAAACATATTAGTCTCCTTATAAAGTTAAATAGTTGGGTAGCTGAAAGATAGGTAGTATGATACTTTTAAGATTGAACTCTGAGCGCGTTCTAATTAAATACCATGGTCAAAAAAACTCAATCTAGTTAGTAGTGGTTTTGAATGTCCTGTATCATTAATTCAATCTTGGATGGATAGATAGGCCACAGTAAGCCACAGATTATTAAACAAAATTAACTGACATATTTTTGCAGTAGAAAATGAAGATTGTCAAAAATATTGTCTTTAAGGTAAAGGTTATAGAACTATGAAAGAGACAATTCCAAATGATTGGCATTATTAATGCATGACGTACAGTCACGATAGTGGTAGCTCCGTCTCTGTCGCACGAATGGAGCTGCGATGTTCATACGTGAAAAGGTAACTTTCCATAATATAGAGCAGAAACTATCACCTTTTGTTATTATACGACCTAAAATCATTTTTTGATAAAAAGTCTAAAATGTTCTTTTATGTTAAACTTAAAACAGTAATAATAATAACCAACACTTTTAGTTTTAAGATGTTACGTAGTGACAATCGACATACAGCTGACCAAACTCAAATATTGAAGGGGAGTATTTTCAACAAGTTTGATTAGAAATCAATACAGATGGCAGTATTCCTCGGCGATGTTGATTTTATTGTCTATCTTTGATAACACCAACGAACTAGTCTAGTATTATTTTCTTTTAAACGATATAGTTCTGAATCTGATATGACATTTCAAATATAAAACCGTCTAAGAATAATCAAATCAAATAGCTCTTTATCAATCGCCTAATTTTGGAATTCATGTATGTCTATACCCTGAGGTATGTTTCTTAAATTTTATTTTAATTATAAAGACAACGATTATGTAAATCATCTATAATAGACACGCTTATGGCCTGCCACCCTTATTTGAACCTCGTTCTCCATACCAAGAAAGGAATCAACTGAAACATGATAAATATTAGGTCCTACGAAATTGCCCACTTTTATCTGAAATATCTCGTCTTTGTTAAGAATTTCAAATTCAAATTTATAAATTCATTTAGCTGGTACATTTGAGTTTTCAAAACAGTCACTAATTTGTTTTTTCCTCATTATTTTTTTCTTTGGCGTCGCTTATTACCGCACAATGGAAAACATGAAATATCGGTATATTTACGAGTACGAGTTCTACCGTGGCACCAGTGCTGCAGAAGCAGCTCGAATGATTAATGATGTGTATGGAGCTGATGTCGCAAAAGAAACCACGGTACGTTTTTGGTTTCAACGTTTTCGTTCTGGAAATTTCGACCTTCAGAACCAACCCCGTGGACGGCCGGAGACCAAAGTGGAAAATGAAGAATTAAAGGCTATTGTGGAAGCAGATCCATCACAAAGCACTTCAGAGATAGCTGCAGGCTTCGGGGTAAGCGAAAAAACTGTATTAATCCACTTGAAGCAACCCGGGAAAGTAAAAAAACTTGAACGATGGGTACCTCGTGGATCGCACTTGCAAACACGCGTCGACTGTTGTGTTACTTTGCTCAACCGACACAATAATGAAGGGATTTTAAATCGAATCATTACTTGTTATGAAAAGTGGCTACTGTACAACAATCGGAAGCGCTCGTCGCAATGGCTGAACCCTGGAGACCCACCCAAACCTGCCCTAAAAAATTGACTCAGAAGAAGTTACTTGTGTTGTTAGTGAGTGTTTGGTGGACTATAGTCCATCAACGTCGTGCGCGACCGTCCTGCGGGCTGACAGACGGTGGCGGGGACGAGGTACTCAAGATGTCAGCGGGTAGCGGGTGGTGTAGCGGGGAAGGTAAACGCTTCTCTTCGTGTGTAGCCGTGTGCTAGAATGACGCGCTACCTCGCCCCCGCCACTGTCTGTCACCCCGCGGGACGGTCGCGCACGAGATTGCCGGGTTATAGCGCCGGTTTCGTTCACTACAGCTTTCTAATATCTGGCTTAACGATTACGGCAGATATCTATTGTCAGCAACTGCAAACCATGAAGGAAGAACTATATGCTAAACAACCGAGATTGGTCAATCGCTCTATGCCACTGCTGCTTCTCGACAACGCAAGACCACACACTGCACAACAAACAACCACTAAGTTAGATGAGCTATAATTGGAATGTCTGCGACATCCACCGTACTCCCCGGACCTTACTACAAGGAAAAAAATTCAACTCCGATGCGGCAGCCCAAACCGCCTTCAAAGAGTTTATTGATTCTCGCCCCTATGGTTTTTTTAGTAAAGGGATCAATGAACTACCTATGAGATGGCAAAAGTGCATAGATAACAACGGTGCATACTTTGATTAATTAAATATATTTTACAAAAAAAAATATGACTTTATATTCCACCCGTACAAAACGCCAATTTCATATGTAAGGACCTAATATTTAATTATTAATTACTTTTGCTCAGCGAAAAAAAAGGGGAAAATTCAGTTATGTTAAATATTTAAGATATTGTTATGTTTTTCGCAGTTTTCTAAAACAAAACAACAAAATCCGGTTGTGAAACAATTATACACAAACTTCCAAATTGCAAATAACAACGATGTTAGATAACAACTATTTGAAAAGCAAAACCACGGTCGTATACCGGTGTATAGATGTGTGCTGCTGATAGTATCACTTTGTAACCACACGTTTCATTAGATTTAATGCTTTTACATAATTGAAATATGTTTCATAGTCAAAGAGGCCTTGCGTCGACATCAACGTACGTTTTTATGAAGAAGGTAGAGCATATAACATGAGAATATGAATGTTGAGGTGTGAATTCTAAGCTCATTTTACGTTTTATTTTAGAAAACAATAGTGCTTTTATTAGGATTCCTTCAGTTAAAAGTGTTTTTGTCATATAAAGGAAGGAAGAAGTATGGGATTCTCAATACATTTTTTTACTCTCAGTTTCAATGTAATTAATGTTTCATTATAACATATAGATCTATGTTATGTAACTCTTCGCGGCCAAAAATGCACTCTGAGAACCTACTGTGAGTTTTTTCACATCAATACGCTGTCGAAATAAACTCGCTATAGACCCCCCGCGGGCCGCCAGAGAGTGGTGGCAGATTAATTGCTGCAGTAAAATGTGATCGGGCTGCAACATCTGGATAGGCTGATAGGCAGGGAGAAGCCACTAACTTTCCCTGAGATAGGGCCTAGTTAGGTGCGGCGTCGATCTGGGGGGAACCTGAAATCACATGGCCCGGGTTCTCCCTAGAGCAGGGCGCCTAAGGCTAGCCGTCTGGTTGGTTAGGCCCTCTGAATTCAGAATTGGTGCATTCGCATGTCTTCCTGGGAGTCTGCATAATGTGAATTGCATCTCGTATAACGTATAACCTTGTAAGATTAGAACAAAATTTTTAAGTGTGAGAATAATTTCTTGTTTATTTAAAAGTTCTTTATAGTTCCTTGAGCCCGATCCGATTTTTCAATCGATCGTACAATATAAAATTTAATCTGTACCAACAACATACTACTTGACTTTTACAAGCTGATTTCTGTAACTCTCGGCTTTCCAAGCAAAGTTTAGTCCAAAATCTCAAGAATAACCGAGATTATCCGAAGAAATCAAACGTACCGGTCGACCGAGAGAGCAGTTGCCGTTTTTCCCAGTTAAAAATGTTTAAGTACTTACATACTCGAATACCTGAAATTTTGAAAAACCCGTTTTCGAATGCACACTATCTTTGCAGATATATTAATAATATACGCAATCCGAATCTAGTTACCTAGTAGGTACCAGGAGCGATTATTGTGCAGCTAGATTACGATAACGCTTTCCTTTTACTTACATGTGAATGTGCTAAAAGTTCTTTCATAATAAAATTGTCATAAATATCCCTCGCAATTCGCCGCCTCTCTTCTACACATTCTTGCTTTTCGTATAATTTAATCTGTTGAAGGAAAAAGTTTACTTAGTTCAAAATAAATTTTAACTGAAAAAATATTATTGAAACGTGATACATTATCCAAACTTACCTCTTCATAAAATTTTAATTGTGGCACTGGTTCATCTGACGTCTGTTCACAAAATTCCTTAAATAATAAATAACCTGAAACAAAAGAAAAAAATATTAAAACACTTGTCATAAGTACGTCTGTTTTTATGTTGTGTTTAACTTATTTGAAAAAGTAACAGAAATAAACCCGCTGAACTTTTAAATAGTATAAAGAGCGTGACGAAAAAGGGGCGAGTTCTATCACTGTCAGTCATCACCTTAAAAGTCCAACTAATCTTATAAATGCAAATGTGATTTTGTTTGTTTTATGTTTTCACGGCTTTAGTACCAAATCAGATACAAAGAAAACATTAAGTAAATCTACTTTAGAAATATGTGGCCTCGCTTCGTAAGTGTTCTATAGAAACTTAAAGTTTATCAAAAAATACTATATTTTACATATAATTTTCAAAATATTTTATTTAACTACGCAGCGGAGCCTTAGAGTAAGTATTTTGATGAGGAGAGAAGACAGTAAAGTTTATTGATCTGTAATCCCCAATTACACAGTTCGATGATCTATGTGAACGTTTTACAAGTGTTTTTCAGAGGAGGAGAGGTTTTATCGAGCATCAAATAACAAAACTCTTCATCATATTTTCTTGTGATGTTAGCTCTGAAAAGGGACGTCGAAGGGATATGTGTTATATGTATACGTACGTTCTAATGTAAGTTTCTTTTTTTATATTATTTGAAATAAATAGTTTTCATGTATTCGTAATGTAATATCTGTTGTGGAATCTTGTTTTTGACTCTTTTTTACCATGTGAGTCTTAGATTATATTGTAGTTCTAGTATAGTCTTATTTTATATAGTCTTATTCGATAACTACTGATTTTTTATTTACACAAGGCCCTCTGATCCCAAACTAGTCACAACTTGTACTACGGTCTCCAGGCTATTGATAAATATACTTATTTACACGTTCAACTTCTGACTGAGAAGTCATAATCAGTGACTATTAGACCAACACACCCGTCAAGTTAAAATATAGGTACTACGGAGGGACTGAAGATGGCTCATACTTGCCAGCAATAACCATTTCGAATTACATGAATGTGAAACTGACCTTATCTAGAGTTTCCATTCTTTAATCTATCCGCATAAGCAATATGAGTAATATCCTATCATTGCCTACTGTTTATATTTCTTTTCTTTCCTTTCAATGGCCTATCAATTTTTACCGACTTCAAACAGGAGAAGGTTCTATGTGTTCTCAACTGTATTTTCTTTTTTTTCTAAACTAATCCACAAAGTACCAGGTTGACGGTAATAGCCTTGCTTCCTATTACGTAAGTGGAACTAAAATTATAGTTGTCAAAATATAGGTGTTTAGACGCTTTTGCCTACCCCTTAGAAGATGAAGGCGTGAAACTGATCTGATTCGAGGTTCGGAACTTATGTTGTCCTGTATGTTCTTTAAAAAAATCCGGACAAGTGCAAGTTGGACTCGCCCACCGATGTTTCCGTTCAAATTTGAAGGTACATATTATAATTCGTTCGGGAATCGAGTCTCGTAGTTTTTTTCGAGCTTTTCCCGAAATTCAGTTTACAAAACCTATAATTACTTATTGGGTTTTATAAAGGAGGTTGTACCTCGATTATTGATTCCGTACTTTAAATATATATTTTCATGCTTTAATTACAAAAGGTATAGTTTTAAGATTTTTGACTGTACTTGTAATATAAGCCGATTTTACTTGTCAAACGGCATAGTTCAAGGTCAACGAGAAGTATCGTATAAATTTTTATTTCCTTGAGTGTAGAAATATGCGTTTTTTAAACGGCCGTGTCTTTTTCTTACGTTATCTTAGTTTATAATAATAATATATTCTTTTATTGTACACCAGATATAAATATACAATAATTGTCATAAACAAGGTTAGTACAAGTGGTCTTATCGCTCAGAGGCAATCTCTTACAGGCAGTTTGATTTTTTATCTTATCTTTTTGTCTTAGTTTGATTTTTTAAGAGCTTCAAGGGACTGTAGACCTAAGTATTTTTGAGGTGAAGTGAAGTGAAGATCTACGCAGGATGGCCGGCAGGAGCTGGATGCGAGAAGCCGAAAATCGATGGAAGTGGCGTGCTATGGGAGAGGCCTATGTCCAGCAGTGGACTGCGATAGGCTGATGATGATGATGAGGTGTGCCTAAGGTTTTAATTTCAACTCGAACCTCCACGCGTTCCCGAGATAACTTAGGTATACAGATTTATATAGATGTATATAAATCAACTTCAGAGCGATTTAAAAACCCATGGATTTAAAATCTTGTCAAGCATTATTTGAAATAAATATCTGTTGGGGCATCAGGCTAGATTTACGTCAAATACTGTTATTAATTCCATTACTCGTCTATACTCGTAATAACCATAAATCAATATTTATAGACGTCATGGATTTGATTCGACGTTAACGTTAGCAACGACAACTGTTTTGAAAGATAATAATATTATATGTATAGATAACACAACTAAAATAAATTACGGTTTAATCGTTTAAAAAAAAAACTTACTCGAGAATTATCAGATGTGTAATTTTGTAAATGTTTTCGGGATTAAAGTCTCGATTTGTACATCCAATATCTGTACAAGTTGATTTTAAGTTTAAAACAGTTATTGTCAGATTATATTATATTCACATTTTCAATTAGATAGTGCTTTAATCTCCAAAGAAAAGAAAGAAGTAGAAGTAATTATTTTTTTCAATATTTACAGTCAGTATGTACCTCTTAGTTCTTTATTTTGCTAATCAAATATCGTTTGATTAGGCTCACCTTAAACATGTACATAGGTAACATTTGACTAAAGTGTTTAGCTTTAGTTACAAATCATTACAAGCGTTTGTAAACTTTAAATAGATATGATTTGCAATCATAGGTGATACGCGTCTTTACACGAATGAGGTTTTAACCCCCGACGAAAACACAGATATAGGGTTTAATCACCTGTGTGTCTGTCTGGTGGTGGACCAATTTCGATGCAGATTTTTTCTTCAAAAGCTTTTCTTTTCTTTTTTTTTCAAAAGCCGATGTGATCGAGATGGTTGTTAGCTAAAAATTTTGAAGATCATCACCTCATTTCCTAGGTGATGAAGGGATGTCACTAAAATCCACAGGTACGATTTATCTGAAATTTGGTATACTTTGATGGTATTTCTACGACATGGAACATACTGCTGCATTAAGTAGTCTACGGGATACCCAACTCCTCAGAAAATTACAGCATATATATCATATTTGAGCTTTATACTAATTTTTTTTGTAAAAGATTTTATTAATATTGTGTTATTACTTAATATCTAGAATCTAATGGCTAATAGAGAAAAAAAGTGCCTGGCAAAGTTATTAAACAACTATTCTTCTTTCTAGTAGTCTTCTTATTAATCTGAACATTAAATATTTTCATTGTACCTTTTTTTGTGTTAGAGGGGGCAGACGAGCAGACGGGTCAACTCATGGAAAGTGACCATCGCCGCCTCTTAGGAAGGAGTACGAGTACCTTTACCTCTACGAGCAAATATCTTAAAAACTTTTACTTTTTTTGGATGGACTCAATACGATCAGTATATATTATATTTGGGTTATAAACCTCAGACGCATACTCGAGGATACTGCGTACCAGTGCACAATAAAGCACTTTAATAGGTTTAATATTGTTAAAATTTGAGGTTGATCTCATAATAAAACCTAAGGATATGTTGGCTTTTTTCACGATGAAGTCAATATGTTTGTCGTATACTAGCTGACCCGCGCAATTTCGTCTGCGTCTCTCAATAGTAATAAATTTTCTTCGTTTTTGAAACATTCTTCATTGGTGCTCAGCTCCTATTCCTCGATAAATGGGCTATCTAACACTGAAAGAATTTTTCAAATCGGACCAGTAGTTCCTGAGATTAACGCGTTCAAACAAACAAACAAACTCTTCAGCTTTATAAATACTAGTATAGATTAGTATAGTCTTGTATAACACCTAAATCCTTTATTGACGCGACATAAGCAAGCGGTTGATAATTAATAGTGTACCTAAATTGAGTGGGGCTGATTTTACGCGTAAAATTAACTGCAAAGCACTTGGATACATTTAGGTCCAATTTGTTGTTTACAATATTTTGCAAAATAATTTATATCCATTTGCAGTAACTTACAATCAGAGAGGCTATTAATGGCCATAAAGATTTTTGTTTCGTCTGCATAGGAAAGAAAACTAGCGTGATTAAAGCATGAGCCAATGTCATTAATAAAAATAATAATATTATAATTATATATCTTTATCCATACCTATATTACAAATGAAAAAGTGAGTTTGTTTGTACAATACAATATTCATAGGAACGTTCTGTAGCTGCCGGCCGCTGCTACCCTACAGGGACGTACGGCCTAACGTCAGCTCCTCCCCCGCATTTCAAACCTCTGATATCATTTAAGATATTCATTTTAATTATAACGGTGTAACGGGCAATTTCAATCTACATACATTGTACAAATGTACAATGTATCTGACGTATTAAACTGGACAAGGAAAAATACTGTATTGTTTAAAATTACATCGTAAAAGACCTATAATTTTTTATAATATGTAAAAGATAGAAATGGTTACTGTGGGCTATCTTTAGGAGATAGACACATACCATCGCGGTCTTTTTTTGCAGATCTTTTTAAGATATGCTATTCCGTAGTACACTGCTTTGATCTATCTATAAGGTTTAGCCAGCGTTTGCAATGTAAGCACACAACAAATTACAAATCTTTGAAATTGTTGTATTTTCTCTTCTATAATGTGTATTATACTTATAAACCTTTCTCTTGAATAACTCTTTCCCGCCAAAAACCGCATTGAAATCCATTGCGTATTTTGCGGAACGCAAAGCGACTTCATTTTATACAATGTAAAGAAGTGTTAATGAAAGATAAAATAAGCATATATATTTTTTGGTTGTTTTATACTTGTGTTCCTTCAATTTCTCCAGGACCAATTAATCAGATCCCAATCTGATTCTGCACCAAGAAGTATAAAAAAATATAAGAAACACTTTCAAACAAACACGAAATATCTA